TTCAGTGAGGTCACTGCCTGCAAGGTTAATATGCAAAAATCAATTGTCCTCCTATATGCTACTGCCAAGCAACTTGAAAATGAATATGTAAAGACAATAGAGTTTGTATTACCATAAAAAATTAAATTAGTAATAAATCTAATGAAAGATATGTAAAACATTGATTCCAAAAATCACAAAACATTACTGAAGGAAATTAAAGAAGACCTATAGAAATAGAGAGACTTACCGTGTTCGTAGTAGAAAGACACAATCATGTAAAGCTGTAGAATTTCCCCAATGGGAATCTGAAATCCTGACACAAATTTGGAAGGTTTTTCTGTGGAGGTTGACAAGCTGGCCCTAAATTGTATCTGGAAGTGCAAAATGCCAAGTATAATGAGACAACCTTCAAGAAGAACAAACCTAGGCTGCAGGCAGTGGCTCACTGATGCTGTGGGTTCACACGTGGTCCTCACTGCAGGAAAATGCAGACCACAGGCCAGGCATGGTGGCTCATGCCTGTAATCCAGCACTTTGGGAGGCCAAAGCAGGAGGATCACTTGAGCCCAGGAGTTTAAGACCAGCCTGGGCAACATAAATCAGCTGGGTGGGCCAGGCTCAGTGGCTGACACCTGTAATCCTAGCACTTTGGGAGGTCAACACAGGTGGATCACCTGAGGTCAGAAGTTTGCGACCAGCCTGGCCAACATGGTGAAACCCCGTCTCGCCTGGACAACGAGAGTGAAACTCCATCTCAAAAAACCACCACCACCACCAAAACAAACAAACAAACACACAAACAAACACACAAACAAACAAAAACAGCTGGGCATGGTGGTGCATGCCTGTAGTCCTAGATACTCAGGAGGCTGAGGTGGGAGGATTGCTTGAGCCTGGGAGGTTTAGGCTGTGATTGCACCCCTGGACTCCAGCCTGAGTGACAGTGAGATTCCATCTCAAAAAGAAAAAAAAAAAAAAAAAGAAGAAAGAACAAAGGACAAAAACACAATCAGATGTCAAGTCTGACTATAAAGCTATAGTTAAGATGGTGTAGTTAGACAAATGGACTGGAGAACTAGAATAGGGTACTATATTCAGAAGTAGACTCATTTATTTATTAATTTTTATTTTTTATTTTTTTTTGAGATGGAGTTTTGTTCTGTCGCCCAGGCTGGAGTGCAACCTCCACCTTCTGGGTTCAAGTGATCCTCCTGCCTCAGCCTCCCGAGTAGCTGGGATTACAGGTGCCCACGTTATGCCCAGCGAATTTTTGTATTTTTAGTAGATATGGGGTTTCACCATGTTGGCTAGGCTGGCCTCAAACTCCTGACCTCAACTGATCTCCCCGCCTAGGCCTCCCAAAGTGCTGGGATTATAGGCATGAACCACTGGGCCCGGCCATAGTTGCCTATTTATATATAACAGAGGTAACGCTGCAGAGTAGCCCTGAAAAAGACAATCTTTTTAGTTTAATTGGATAGCCACATGGAAAAAAAGTAAATCCTGACTCCGTAAATATAACCCAGCTGATTTAAGATCCCATCGTGGCCTATCAGCTGTGACCCTCCTTGCATTTTCCCACCTTCGAGTAACAAATTTCTTTCCCCACCCCAGAACAGAGCGTCTGCTCAGCAGCAGCTGTGAATAGTAGAAAACACCCTGGCCAGTCTCGGTAGCTTCCAGAAGCCGCACCCCTCCACCGAACCTCACTCCCCATCTCCTACGCTCTAAAGCGAGGACTCCTCAGAAAGCCAGTTTCTATCTTACTTTTTCTTTTCTTCTCTCTGTCTCTCTCTCTCGTCGCAGGTTTGGCTCAGAAACTCCGGGGTCCCTCAGCGTCTCGCCTGCGCCCTCTGCAGGCGTGAGGTGGCACTGCCTGACTGCATCCCGTTGGAGCGTCTACACTCGGTCGGCAAAAGGAGCGTGAACACTCTCGGACCTGGGAAAGTAGAAGCCCCAAGACAGAGAAAAGCCGGGACCTCGCCCGGAGCTAGCGGGAGGCTAAGGTGGGGAACCCTGGGGCGGAAACCAAGCGCTGGGGGCGTGGTCTCCAGCGGGGCGGGGCATCTGGTGGGGAGGGGGCGGGGCCAGCCTGCAGGCCCAGACGTGGCGCAGCGATTAGGAGGTTCGCCTCCGGCTTGCCCATCATTTGCCGCCGGGGTCCCGATGATTCTGTTGCCTCCGCTGCCGCTGCTGCTGCTTCTCGCGGCGCTTGCGGCTCCAGCCACTGCCGCCACTACCTATCGGCCGGACTGGAACCGTCTGAGAGGCCTGACCCGCGCCCGGGTAGAGGTGAGTACGTCGGCCTCCAGCCCCGGCACCACCGTCTCCCAGCGGTCCCAAGGGAGCACCGCCCGCCCCAGCCCCAGGACCACCTCGAACCTCAAGTCTCACTGCTTTCCTCTGGCGCCGGGGCCATCCCTCCTGTTCCCTAGCCCCAGGATGGCCCCCGCATCCACCGTGGAAGCCTGAGACACTGACTTTGCGGCCTGAAACTCCGAGCCCTTCCCCAGCTCCCCCTACCCGTCCGGACAGCAGACCCCCAGACACACTGACAGTCTCCTAACTCTCCTCGTGGCCTGTGACTCTCAAGCCTGTCCCAACTTCCCATCCCCCATCACTTCACGTTTTCCTGGAATTCCTCCCCCACCCAGTTTCAGGGCTTGAGGCTCCAGAAAGTCTCTTTTCCTACACCTGGGGGGAGAGAAGACTTTCTGGGTGCCTCCTTCCCTCATGTAGGAGCCAGGGAAGGGGGCCAGCTCGACGGGGAACCGAGTTGGGAACTTGGTTGCTAACACTTACTCTGCTGCAGCGTCCCATCCTCCCCCCTGCCACAGGAAATTCCCCTTTGGAGTCCCTGCCTTGCTATGTGACTTTGACCACAGCCCCTCTCTGTGCTTTTTGTGAGCGCTGTCTGACAAAAAGGTGTAGGATGGCTGGGTGCTGGTGGTGCATGTCTGCAATCCCAGCACTTTGGGAGGCCAAGGCAGGAGGATCGCTTGAGCCCAGGAGTTCAAGACCACCTTGGGGGGACATAGTGAGACCCTGTCTCTAAGAAAAGGGCTGAGAGTAGGATGGAGGAGGGCTGGAGTGGGTAGTCCTGGCGTCTGGACTCCTGTTGGATGGTGGTGTCTCCTCAGGGAAGTCAGGAGGATCCCTCCCATCCTCCCATGTCAGGGAAGCAACCAGATGGTCTGTGGCGCTGGGCCACAGGTGGCAGGCAGGCAGGGCAAGGTCTGCCTGTGTAGGGTAGGACCACATAGTAGGTGTCTCTAATGGGGGCCTCTAGGACCATTCTGAGGTGTTTCCTTCTGGTCTGCCTCCACTGTGAGATTTCAGGGGTCAAAGGCCAAGCCCAGGTCTCTACTGCTTAAGAGGAGCAGGGTGATCATTTCCCCTGGGCATTAGGAGTCAGTCAACAGCCAATAGGATATACAGGCCCCAAGGCTGGCTGGCACCCTGTGGGTCTCTGGCCTTGCTCTTTTCCCCTGGTGTCTCTAGGCCTGAGTCTCCCAACCTGTATACACAGTTCCCCCTTCTGCCCACAAGAGACTAGCATCTCCTTCATACCTTGGGAACTGCTGATCCAGGGGTAACTCACAGCCCGACCCAACTCAGGGATAAGGATGTATGGCTTTGGGGGTGTGGCTGGGATAAATGTGAAGGACTCCTGACCTATCCCATTTTATACCTCTCCAGACCTGTGGGGGATGACAGCTGAACCGCCTAAAGGAGGTGAGTTTGAAGGAAGGGGTCCCTATCTCTGTTCCCCCTGAGCCTCTTGGGGAGTGGGCAACATGGTCCCAATGACTAGGGGTTGGGGGAGGACCCTTAGGCTGAGAGTCAGGAGCCTGCACTTGACTTGCTTTATGACCCTATTGTGCTTCAGTGTCCTGCTGTACCTGGAGGGGACTGGGGCCATGTTCTCTGATGCTCTGGTTTCTCCCCAGGTGAAGGCTTTCGTCACTCAGGACATTCCATTCTAGTATCCTTCTGTTCTGGGGGAGGGGGAATGGGGTGGGCACCTGGGAGAATCTCCACTTAACTTCAGATAGAGGTGGCAAATAGTTTTCAACTGACAAGTGGAATTGATTGGTAGTGGCCGCCCAGAGGATTCTGAGGTGGTCTCCATATTGGGTGGGCAAGAGACTGACAAGTGATGACTGCCGGAGGGCCCTTTATTTCTTTGAACCCTAATTTTCTCATGTACAATTGGAGAACCCAGCCCCACTTGGCAGAGTAAGTGCTCAGCAATGGAGAAAATGCTGTTCCATCAGTAAGGCTGCGGGAACCCCTACCTCCCTCTGACCACCACCACCCACCTTAACACCACCTCCAGTCACAACCTGGTGATGAAACACCTCCCTGGGGCCGACCCCGAGCTAGTGCTGCTGGGCCGCCGCTACGAGGAACTGGAGGTGAGGCCGTGGGAGGCGGGCTGGGGGCGGGGCTCGAGGCCAAGCCTGGCCTGCTGAACCCGCCCCTCCTCCACCTCAGCGCATTCCGCTCAGCGAAATGACCCGCGAAGAGATCAACGCGCTGGTGCAGGAGCTCGGCTTCTACCGCAAGGCGGCGCCCGACGCACAGGTGCCCCCCGAGTACGTGTGGGCGCCCGCTAGGCCCCCGGTGGAAACTTCGGACCACGCTGACCTGTAGGTCCGGGGCGCATTGGCCCTGGGACCACCCTGCCTGAGTCCTGGACACAGATGAAGCGCTCAGCATCCCGGGAGTACCTCCCTTGCTGAGGGCGGATGCCCCGTCCCCGGGCCAGCAGGGATGGGATTGGGGAGGTTCTCCAAACCCTGCTTTCTTCCCTCCCCAGCTCCACTAAATTCTCTCCTGCCTTAACTGAGGCTCGACTCTTTGTTGCTGCGGGCGGGTGGGGTAGGAGGTCGGAAGAGGAACCGCTGAGGACCCCCGCATTCCCAAGTGTCTGGCTGCTGCAGTCGGAGACCTTGCTGAATTGCCTTTGGTTCAAACCCCCTTCCACCCTGAGGAGACGCAGGGAGGAGCCAGGATCGTTGAAAACCAATAATTTATCAAAACGCCGCGTGTGTATGTGGGGAGAGGGTGTCGCGACAGACAGGGCAGCGGTGGGCGGGCGCACAGGGAGGGAACGGTGCCCGGAGGGTGGGGGCAGCAGCTTGCCACTGGTGGGCCATGCGGGCGGGGAGGCTAGACATTCTTGCCGCGCAGGCGCAGTTCGTGGCGCCGCAGGTGGTTGTAGAGCGACTGCACATAGGTGAAGACACACTTGGGGTCGGGCTTTTTGCCCATGATCATCATGTCCTCCACCTCCACGAGGGGCACGCAGTCCACCAGCATCCTGCAAGGAGGGGCCACGGGGATGGACGTCATCGCCAGCCCCGCCTCTTGTGGCACCCCCTCCACCCCAAGGTCTTTTTTATTGCCTCATTGCCTGCTAGTCTTTCATTAACTCCAGACACGGAAAACCCTTCTAGGAAGGCAGGAATCCCCTGGCTTCATCCACTCAAGTCTAGAGGCATCCCTCGGGGCAGGGGAGCAGAGCTAGGCAGGTAGAAGCGGAGATGGCATAAGAGAGCCCCATATCAGACCCAGGCAGGTCCTGGGTATGTTTCCTCCAACCCTGGGGAGGGGCTGGATCCAAACCCTGCCCACGTTCTCCCTGGAGCCCTGCTTCTGCTCACACTCACTGGCACACTCCAGTTGGTAGAAGCCTCTCTGCTGGGCCTTTGCACCCAGATAGGCTTCATCACTGGACAATCTTTCTCTATGAACAGGTCTCACTATAGTGATCCTATGGTCCCCTGATTATTGTTTGCTAGCTGCCTGACCTGAAACTTCCTGCTGAGTGGCCCAGGGACCCCTTTTCTTTGAAGGGGGGTGGGGATAACCCTCCTGCTAGAGATGGAGGCCAGGGAGTGTGTGGGCGGCAGAGGAGTTCTCTAACCCTTATCACCTGCCTTGGGTAGAGCAGGGGAGCCAAATGAGGATTCCAACCAATACCAATGGACCATCTACCCCATGCTCAGGGGTGGGACCACCCTTCTGGCCATCCTTCAGAATGCTAGCTGCCTTTCACAGATAAGGAAACTGAGTCACAGGGCAGAAAACCCATTTGTTTCAAGCCTCACAGCTTAGTAAGTGCAGGCTGGGACACATGGGACTCAGGCCTCCAGCTCTGGATGTTGGCAAAGCCTCTTTCCCACTCTGGGGTGAGTGGGTTGTGCCTATGAAGCAACTGATAGCCCCAGGGCTCTGAAGCTGGAGTCTGTTCTCTGGCTCCTTTCCCCTGTTCCTCAACCCCCAGAGCAAGACCTTTTCTGCCCTGATCCCTGTTTGCTGTCTCCTATCTGCCATGCCTAGCACATAGCAAGCATTCAGTGTTGCTGAATGAGTTTCCTAGAGCGGAGAAGCCATAATAGCAAGAATTGCTCCTTATTCTCAAGACACCTGAGAACCCAAGACCACCTCCCATTTTGTGCCCTTATGGACAAACTCAGAACTGTGGTAGGGCTGGGCCTACTCCCAGCTCATCTGGACTTCTTCAAGGAAGAAACCTGGGAAGCAGAACACCTCTGTTTTAGTCCAGATTCTATCCCTAACCAGTTGTGGGTGCTAGATGAGGCCCTGTTCTATGACTCAGTTTCCCCCTTTCTAGAACAGGACAGTCATTCCCTACCTCATTTGAGACCTCAGAAGAACTTAGGATGAATGAGAGGGTTCTGGGTCTGCTGCTGATGTGCTACACGGCCCTGAGGTCATCCCTACCCCAGACTGGGCTTGTTTCCTGAGCTGTACCATGAGGCAGAGGCTTCTTCCAGCTGTGACTATCATCCCGGAGTTCCCGACCTCCCTCTCCAACCTGGTGCTCCCTCCCGCCCCCACTCCCTTCCCTGGAGACCTTATAAAGCCATTGTTTACACTGGGGCTCACGCACGGCTCAGGGCTCAGGGCTCAGGGCTTGGGCTGCCCCAGTGACAAGCCAAACACCAGGCAACTTGAGCAACAGCACGGCTGAGTCACACTTTCCAACTGGATCAGGGCTGAGCTGGGCCCCTCTCCCTCCAAGCTGGCTTGCTGGGCAGCAGCTCCTAAGTCCATATATGACCTGGAGATAGTACCAAGCCCATCCTCCCCTCACCTGCACTCTGAGTGTATGTGTGCACATGTGGACTGCCCCCCACAATGGCTCCAGGCCCCGAGAGGCATCTGAGTGTGCCCCTACCTGTCACTGACTTACATTCCTTCAGGCAATCCCCTTGCTCCTTCTGGCCTCTATGTTTAATCCTCTCTACAGAATGGGCAGGAATGCAGTGATGGGGCAAGGAAAACAGTCACTAAGTGAGGAGGCTGGAGTCCCAGTTTCTGGCCCCAGCTCTGACCTAACCATCTTCCCTCTCCCTCCTACTCCCAGGAAAGTCTTTGCCCACCTCTCTCTCTCTGAGCTCCTTGTCTGTAATGGGCAGTTAGTTCAGGATCTGAATTCTCTACTTTGATACTGAGGTAAGGTGACCAGAGAGGAGATGCCACAGCTGGCTTAGGATCCAGAATCCCCAGCCAGAAACATCTTCCTGTTGAACTGGACATGCTCCTGCATTCCCCACTTTGGAGTGCAGCACCTCCAACTCCCCAGTGCCCACACAGAAGCCTGGCTGACTTCCTGACTTTCCCCCTCTCTCTCCAAACCAGACCTATTGGGAAGCCTTTCCTTCTAGCTCTTAAGCTATTCCAGCCATCTAGTCCATCCCATCTCTTGTACAAGCCTCATCCAAGGACTGTTCTAGAATGCTGTTCTGACCACATCCATCCACTGTTTGGAAACCTTTTATAACTCCTATTGTCCTCTGGAGGGAAGGTCAAACTTTTTTTTTTATTGAGACGGAGTCTCACTTTGTTGCCTAGGCTGGAGTGCAGTGGCATGGTTTTGGCTCCCTGTGACCTCTGCTTCCCAGGTTCAAGTGATTCTTCTGCCTCAGCCTCCTGAGCAACTGGGATTACAGGCACGTACCACCACACCCAGCTAATTTTTGTATTCTTAGTAGAGGGAGGGTTTCATCATGTTGGTCAGGCTGGTCTCAAACTCCTGACCTTGTGATTCACCCGCCTCAGCCTCCCAAAGGTCTGGGATTACAGACGTGAGCCAAGGTGCCTGGCCTGAAGGTCAGACCTCTTACTGTGGACCCCTCCTTCTCCCTCACATCCAGACTCAAGTTTCTTCCCTTCCTTGTTGCTGTGCTCTCCAGCTCTCTTGCCCTGCTAAGCCTAGGCTGATCCCTCTCCCCGGAACTACCTCTCCCTCCTTTAGCCTGAACTTGTTCAGATCCCAGCTTAGTTTGCACTTTTTTCAGATGTGGGTCCCAGACCTGCAGCCTGGGTCAGGCACCTCCCCCGGGCTTCCCCACCACAGTGCTGCTCACCTTTGTCATCACTGCCCGTTTGGAATGGTTTTGCCAGCTGGGCCCTGAACTACCAGAAGACAGGGCCATGTCTGGCTCCTCTGGTTTGACTAAATGCCCCCTTTACTTCCCCCACCCTCCTCCCTGGGCCCTCTCTGTGCCTTGCTGAGCAGATTCTGGTGAAACGGGGCAAGTGGGAGAGGCGGCGTTTCTCACCGTGGGGCCCCGAACAGGGGTTAGGACTTTTTGGTTTTTACCAGCCCCTTCTGGACCAGACAGCGGTAGAACTCCTGGATGTACGTGTACACGCACTTCCAGTCAGGCTCTCGAAGCCGCACCATGTCCTCTGTATCCAGGAGCTGGGGGCAGTCCGCATGGGTCCTGGGGAGGGTAGGGGGCCGGGAAGGGGTGGGGGATGGGGGCAGGAGGCCAGGGCCCCGGGTGGGGAACAGAGGGAAGAGGCAGAGAAGAGAGAGGGGAGGAAACAGAGAGACACACACATACACACACACACACACAGAGACATGAGTTCAGTTACGTCTCCAGTGCTGCAGTCTGCCAGCCCCCCGCATGCCACCTCCCCACTGTGGATGTGCCGCTCACTACCCGTCACTAATGGTGTGCAATGCAGACAGGGGTGGGGGCCAAACCAGTCACAGGTGCAGAGAACTCTAGGGACAAGCGGGAACGCAGGGTGGGGGCGACGGTGTTGGCACCAAGGTTTGAGAGGAGGGCTGTGCCCCGAGGAGAGGGGGTGAGGGAGGCGTGAGAGGAGGTGGGGGAAGGAGGGGGAGGAGGAGGAGAAGGAAGAAATTTGAGGGAAACCAGAAAGAGAAGGGGAGAGAAGGGGAGACAGATGGAGAAGGGTGCTGAGAGTGAGGTGAGCAGACGGGGCAACGATTCCAAAGTGGAGGGCTTGCTGAGGTCCTATATAAGCCTCTGGCAGGACTATATAGGCTGGGCGGGCACGGTGCCCGGGCCAGGAGCCTCCTTTTGGAATCTCCAGCCGGGATCCCGTGGGAGCAGGAAGCTCTGGTGATAGTGGGAGGAGAGCAGGACAGAGAAAGGGAGAGAGGGTGAAGGGGGCAGAGGGAGGATGGAGGGGATATGGACAGGGCCACCTGGTGGGCCTCAGCCCGGGCTGGTAGGCCGGCCTGTGGCTCCTTCGTTCCGGTGGGCACCTGGCACGCTCAGCAGCGGGAGGGCGGGGATGGAGAAGGACAGGGACTCTCTGGGCAAGGGGGTCTCAGCCGCTGACTGACAATGTGGCTGGCCTGCTCCAGGGGTTCTCAGGGCAATTGGGCCTGGCCCTGATGTCCAGCCCCAGATGCACAGCAACATGAGCAGGACCAGGGCCCACACTTACTCCGCAGATGAGAAGGCCACCTCGAAGTTCTGGCGTCGGTTCTGAGGGCTAAGCTGCCCATAGTCGAAGGCCTCAGGGAAGAAGTTGTGCACCAGGGCACAGAAGGCCATCCCGTCACTCCAGCTGGAGGAGAAGTTCTGGATGTCCACATGCTATAAGCCATCGGAGGACTGGTCAGGACCCTGTAGGCAACTCCCCCTGCTGCCTACCTCTTGGCATTCTGGTATTCTCTGGGCACAGAGAGGCCCTGTCACTTGCCCAAGGCTGCACAATGAGTGAATAGAGCACACGCCTCCTCTGTCAGTCTGTCAACTCCCATGTTAGCGATTTCAGGAACAGAGCTACTGAGGGGCCCAGTGCCACCCAGCTAAGGTCATGGTCATGCCTCATCAATCCTTCCCTCAGTTAGAGAAATTGACTCAGGGCCTCCTACACAGCAACAAAGAGGGGACTCCAAAGAGTGGGATCTGGCCTTGAACCCTGTTCACCACCCAAGAGGCCCTGTCACTTCATCACTGATTCCGGAATTTAAGGCTTGTCTTGTGTCCTCTTTGAGCCTCAGTTTCCTCACCTTAAGAGGCTTTCCATGTTCCCTGTGAGGCCACACAGTGGTGGAAAGTTACTAGGGAATGAAAGGAGCTCTGCTTAGAGGGAGGTGCTGAGCTGGCTCTGAGGAGGCCTCCAGGCCCCCTGGCCTCCCGGGGCTCACCTCGTAGCCTCGCGTCTTGGCTCGGCACCAGTCCAGCAACATCTGCTTGATGCTGTTGGCGTTGGGGACCCCGAAGCTGGTGGATCGCTGCACGGCTGTGCGGGGTCCGCCAGGGCTGCTACAGGGACGGTGTCAGAACCAGGTCACACGACTATAAGAGGTGCTGCCTCGGTGGGCCCACCGAGCAGATCCCAGGCCCCGCCTTCCATGATCTTCAGGCCTTTGCACCACAGATCTAACGGTGCATTCTTCCGTCTCTGCCCAGCCAACTATCAAACCCCGCCCCCACTGCCGGCCCCTTTCTGCAGCTCACCAGGCCGCGCCCTCCTTCTCCAGCTTCTCAATCATGGCCTTGCGCGCCTGGGAGGCTGAGGTCTTGGGCAGACTCTGCGCCTTCATGAGCTCTTTCTTCTTCTCAGCCTGGCGTTTCTCGAGGGCTGCCAGGCTGCCTGCCCGCGGGCTGGCCTGGTCCTCACGGTCAAAGATGCTAGGGGTTGGGGAGGCACATGTTAGGCAGGGAGAGGAGGGCTACTCCCCAGCCTGGGCCACCACTCAGGAGGGGGCTCTTGTAGCACACTAGTATCTCCACTGCCGCAAACACCAGCCAGGGAGGGAGGCATCCTATCTCACCCATTTTACAGAGAGGTACAGAGGCTCAAATGACAGCAAGGTTTTCAACAGGTTTCCGCCCCGGCCTTCCTCCCGCACGGGGAGTTCTCTGAGAAGGCTCATTGTACCCTCAAGTTACAGGCGAGTTTAGCTTCTGAGCACTATCGGCTAATAAAAATGACTAACATAATAATGTAATACTAATGGTAATTCATCTCTATTGATCCTTTCCTGTGTGCCATTTTAAACTTCACAAGGAGGGAGGGGCCTGACCAATTGCACTAAAAGTGAGGAAACTGAGGCCCCTGGCAGTAACTTGCCTAAGATTTCAGAGGACGTGATGGGCGGGGCTAGAATTTGAACAGTCTCTCTGACTCAGAGTGCCTGGACCCCTTGGGTCCCCATCCTGGATTCTGATCCTCTTCCTGCTTTCTGCAAGCCCCAATAGCCTCTGTTACATGGGGGTGCCCTCCTGCCTCATAGAGCTAAGGTATAAAGGTGCTCTGTGACCTGGGACATGGTTTGCAGACACTGGGAAGTGGCAGTGCCACCAGCAGCTCAGTGTGGTAAGTAGCCCTCTCTAAGGGTTCAGTGCTATTGCCGCCACTCAGATATGAGCCCTAAGTAACTCGCTGGCCTCCCTGAGCATCCACCTCTCCTATGGTGTGGCTGAGAATTAAGTGAGATCCCAAAGTGAGCAGGATCCTTAACTCTCACTTGGCCCCTCCCTGGCTGTAGACCTATTACCTCCCAGCATCCCAGGATACCCTTCTGTTTTATTCATTTATTTATTTTTGAGACTAAGTCTTGTGCTGTGGCCCAGACTGGATACAGTGGAGCAATCTCAGCTCACTGAAACCTCTGCCTCCCAAGTTCAAGCCTTGGTCTCCCAAAGTGGTGGGATTATAGGTGAGAGCCACTGCACCCAGCCTACCCTTCTGTAAAATGGGTTTTGCAGTTATGTCCCCTCTGGCACTGACTCCTCTGTGGTTGGGTAGTGGGTACTGGTGCTCACCTGCCCATCTTCTTGGATGAGGAGGAAGAGGAGAAGGTCTTGGTTTGCACCATGGTGCTGCCACTGCCATCTGCAAAAAAGGGGAAGGGGCACCAGATGAGGGCCTGGGATGCACATCAGGAGATGGGATGGGAGGCTGTGTGGAGGTACGGTGATAGCTGTAGGCAGAGAAGAGAAAATGATGGCACAGTTGAAGACACGAAGAGAGAGCTCAAGGAAGAGTTGGAGGAGGTGGGCGGGCAGGCAGGCAGGCAGGCAGAGGACGATGCCAGGTGGCCTTACTCTCCGAGCGCCTCACGAAACTCGACTCCACTGTGGTGGTGCGGGCCGTCCGTGTGCCATCATCTGCAGGGGCAGAGGATGAGAAGGATGTGAAAGGCACAGGGGGCTGTGGGAGGATGTGTTCCCACCCTGAGCCCTGGGCCCCACTTGGCCCCTTACTGGAGTGGACGAGCCGCTCAGTCTTGGTAACAGTGCTGACAGCAGAGCCGTCAGCCGCCCGCTGGCTGTGCCTTGTGGTGGTTTCAGTGGCTGTGTTGCTGCGACCCTCCCCTGGCCGGGCCCGTGCCTCCTGCAGCCGCCGTTCCCGCTCCTTGTCCCGCTGGTCTGGGCAGGGGATGCCCCATGCATGAGCAAAGGGCCACCAACGCCCACACAGCACAGATGCACAGGTGCGTTGGGGCACACAAGATGGGGTGGAGGGTGACTTGTTAGAAACATTAATGACACAGGTAACAAGGGTCTCTCTAAGAGCAGCTGGGGTGAGGGGCCAGGGAATGGAGTGTGGGAAGGGGCTGATGGACTCAGGTAGAAACTAGAGAATAGGGAATAGCTAAACACAAAGATAAAGATGTAAGAAGGGAGTTTCTATGGGCATGAGTAGCTGAGTCAGGAGACGGTATCTAGATCTAGTAAGGCAGCAGCTGAGTCCAAGGAAGGAGAAGCTGGGTGAGGAAGTAGCTGAGTAGGCCATCAGTGGGTCTTTGGTTGTAGGAGAAGAGCAGCTGGACACAGAAATATCTAGATCCAGGAAGGGAGCAACTGATGGGATCTGAGAAGCAATTTGATCCAGGGGAAGAGTAGTTGGGAGAGAAGCTGATGAAGGGGGTTAACTGGGCTTAAAATAGAAGTAGGTGGGTAGAGATAGAGGCTGGGGTGGCCATCGGTGGGCCCCCGATGGCTTATTAGATGCTCAATTAGAAGCAGCTAATTGAGAGTACTTGAGAGGGAAGCAATTGAACCCAGAATCTAAGGGAATGAATAGATGTGTCCAGGGAAGAACTATATGAGGGAGGAAGTTGCTGTGTCCAGGAAAGGGGAAGCTGGATGGGGCAGAGGCTAAGATGGCCATCAGTGGACTTCAGGGAGAGGAGCAGCTGGGAGAAGGAGTATCTGGATTCAAGGAAGGAGTCGTTGACAGTACTTGGAGAAGCAACTGGATCCAAGGAGAGAGTAGCTGAGGAAGGGAGTAACTGGGTCTAGGAAGGAGAAGAGAAGCTGGTTGGGTAGAATAACTGGGATTGCCAGCAGGAGAGAAGCAGCTAGGGAAGGGAGCAGCTGGATCCAGCAGGGAGTAGGCAAGGGAACTGCTGGGTCTAGAGAAGAAGCTGGGTAGGGCAACCATTGAGCTGAAGTGTCCACAAATGGACCCAGAGTATGAAAGGAGTAGCTGGGGAGTGGGGCAGCTGGATCTAGGGTAGGGCAACTGGCTCTCTACCTCTCTTCCTTTGTCGGAGCTCACGAAGTGCAGCCCGGATGAGCTTCCGCTCTTCAAAGTCTGTGCTCTGATCCAGCTGCATAGAGAGCCCGTCATTGCCTACCTGATGCCTGCTGGTTCCTGGCTTCTGCCAACCCCCAGCCCACCAGATCTGGCCATACCATCTTGTCCAAGACTCCTTCATCCTCAATAGTCATCAGCTCCTCAGCACTCAGGGGGGTTCGCCCTTCTGGTGCTTTGTCCACTTGGGTCTGCTCAGCCCCATTGGCTGTTTCCACTGCTGCAGAGGGAGGCTCTGCTGGCTCTCGTTCCATCTGCAGGGTGGGGAGAGGGCATGGACTTTAAGCAGGGGCATGGGTGAAACCCACCATGCTGGCACAGCCTTGGAAATAACCACTAGCCTGCCAGCCTGCCCGCCCAAGGATGGCCATGTTAGAGTCAGGAAAGAGGCATGGACAGCCTTGTTGTAGGGCTCCATGTACCGAGCATTGTATTAATACAATTGATGGTAATAATAATGATGATTTCCAGTCTATAGTAAGTGTTGTATAAGCACTAGGGATTTTACTGTCCCTATTTAACAGAAGCAAAGGCCGGGCGCAGTGGCTCGTGCCTGTAATCTCAACACTTTGGGAGGCCGAGGTGGGAGGATCACTTGTTGCCAGCAGTTTGAGACCAACCTGGGTAACACAGCGAGACCCCATCTCTACAAACACAAAAATAAAAAATTAACTACGTGGCCAGGTGCGGTGGCTCACGCCTGTAATCCCAGCCCTTTGGGAGGCCAAGGTGGGTGGATCATGAGGTCAAGAGATCTAGACCATCCTTGTCAACATGGTGAAACCGCATCTCTACTACAAATACAAAAATTAGCTGGGCATGGTGGCACACGCCTGTAGTCCCAGCTACTCGGGAGGCTGAGGCAGGAGAATTGCTTGAACCCAGGAGGCGGAGGTTGCGATGAGCTGAGATCACGCCATTGCACTCTAGCCTGGGTAATAAGAGTGAAACTCTGTCTCAAAAAAAAAAAAAAAAAAAAAAATTAGCTATGCATGGTGGTGTGCACCCACAATCCCAGCTACTCAGAAGGCTGAGGTAGGAGGATGGGACTTGAGCCCAGGAATTAGAGGCTGCAGAGAGCTATGATCAGCAGCTACACTCCAGCCTGGGCAACAGAGTAAGACCCTGTCTAAAACAAAACAAAACAAAAAACCAAAACAAGACCCCCCCGCCCCCGCCCCGCCAAAAAAAAAAAAACAGAAGGGAAAACAGCTCAGGGCAGCTGACTGACTTGCTGGTAGTCTCTCTAAGTGCGAAGTGGCCTGGGACCTGAGCTAAAGGTGGTCTAACTCCTGAACCTCAGTTATTTTTGCTGCTTTGTTCCCAGCCCCCTCTCAGGCAGGCTCTGCTCTGTGCTGCCAGTTCCTGAGGTCTGGGTCCTCCTGGGCCAGTGCCCAGGCAGCACATGTTGCCCCCCATCCCCCTGCCACCTTGCCAAGGGGACTGGCCCAGGGCCTGTAGACTCCTGACCAGGTGTTTGACTGGGGCTGCCCTGAGCCAAGAAGACCTCTCTGAAACTCTCCTTTGTACCACCTCCCCCTTCCTCGCCCCTGTTGGAAACCATCCTCTAAGGAGTCTCCAGCCCTGCAGCCCTCCCAGCCCCTTGAAGACAAGGTCTCAGGTCAACTATTATGGCCCTTCCTCTCCTGGCAGGGCCTCTCTGTCTGCTATAAGGGTAAGGAGAGCCGCGGTGGCAGCTGTTTCAGGGAGGCTTGGTCTGGCCAGGGTGCAGGGCGGTGGAGCTGGGGGCTGGGGCCTGGGCCATGCCAGGGGCTGCCAGGGCAGCTGCCATGCATGCCTCAGGGCTGGAGCCTGGCACCCTCTTGCCCCAGTCTTGGAGCACTAGTGCCACAGTCCCCAGTCTTCATAGGTAAACTGAGGCTCAGAGAAGGTGATGACATACCTAAAGTCACAGCGGAGGCAGAGCCTGACTCAAAACCACCCCCTCCCACCAACCCAGAGGGACTTACGAGACTAGTGCTGCAGGCAGTGCTGGAGGAGCGGCGGCGGGTGCTGAAGGCAGGTGGGTGGGCCACAGGGGTCCCAGCATCCTCGGCCGCCTGGAAGAGGGCCTCAGGGTCGGCAGCAGCCAAAAGCAGCTCACTGGGCTCCAGCTCAGGCTCGAGGCCAGACACAAGTGGGACCCCCAGTCGTAGGCTCAGCACCTCCACCTGCCTGCTCAGTGCATCCAGCCGCCGGCTCAGTGCTGCTCTCTCTGCCCGCAGCTCTTCAGCTGCCCGGGCCAGCGGCTCCACCGTGGCCACAGCTACCTCGGCTGCCTGGGTCACTGCTGCCCGGCCTGCCTCAGCCACTGCCCGCAGCTCCTCCAATGCCCGGCCCAACTGCTCCTCCAGGGCTGCAGCCAGCTCAGGCCCAGGCCCTGGTACCCCTGGCATGGTGCTGGTGGGGACTCTATGGGGGGTAATGGTGGGGCAGTGGCAGGGGCTGCTGCCTCTGGCTGACAGTGTCTGAGTCTTTGCAGCTGGTCTGAGGGCAAAGGCAAGGGCAGCGGGCCTGCCCCGCCCCTGCCTCCTAGCCGGCCACCAGCCAGCTGGAGCTGCAGCCCAAATAGAAACCTATTCTGGGATCCTCCATGGAAGGGGCAGTGGGGGAGGGGGGCCTGCCCAAGCAGGCAGATAGCCAGGCCTGGCTCTAGCCCTGCAGAAACCATACACCTGCAGGACAGTAAGACTGCATGGGTATAAAGATCACTGAGATCAGGGTCCCGTGCCCATAGGTGAGGAAACTGAGGCAGGGAACAGGAAATGGACCTATCTGAGCCACCATGTGCAGATCCAGTCTGCTGGACTTCACTCCTTTACCCTCATGCCATGCTGTTTTTGACAGCTGGAACAGATAGGGGGAATGGAGGCACAGGGAGGCAGGACTTTGAGTGATCTGCTGCAAAAAGTGTCTTGGCCTGAGATAAATGCCCTCTGGCCCGCCCATGGTGCTCACATCCAGCCACAGACTTTGAGCAAGCACATTATGGACACATCATCTGTTCCCCCTTGGTTCCAGATGGGTAAACTGAGGCAAGTTGATGGTGTCAGACCCAGGTCTCACTGTGGCACCTCCCATCCACCTCAAGAGCCTCAGCTGGTCCCCCCACCCCACCTCACACAATCCCTTGTCAGAGGGCAGCTGGATCCTGCTTTTTTGGAGGAAGGGTGCTTTTTTTCCCTCACTCTCTCCCTGTCTCCTGTGAGAAGGCCCAAAGCTGGCTCTAGCCATCTCACCTCAGCCAAAGTCCCGTTCAGTCCCTGGTTCAGCAAAGAGGGCATTACCTGGGCAGCCAGGTGGCCCGCTTGGGAATCCCTTTCCCAGCTGAGCTCCTGGCTAGTGGATCCTGGACTTGGGAATGAATAATGGAAGGGTGCTGCGTATTCAGTTCCCAAGGCACCTGCTAGGCTGCTGCCTCACCTGATTGGCACCCCCCTGCTTGTCTGTCCCCCATCAGTGCATCTGCCCAACCCCCCCAGGGAGGTTGACGCAGATGTTAATCGCTAATCTCCAATCTCCTAATGGGCCAGGCTGATCTTAGATCAGCAGATGAGCTGCTCTATACCTCGGGGCTAATGTCCAGTGTGGGTGGGCGCAGGGGCACTGGGTCTGCCACAGGAAGAGGGGAGCAAGTTCCCACTACTCTCTCCGAGCCTCAGTTTCCCCATCTGTTCACCAGGAATGAACCAACCAGTTTTGGACTAAGGATCAGAGATCAGCATGCAGGAAGCTTAATGCCAGTACCGAGTAAGCTTCTGACACACTTAGGGGCTGATACGCTAGGGTCTGGCCTTAGCTCTGCCGCTGATTAGCTGTGGTCTGTGAGCAGCCACTTCCCTCTCTGGGCCTCAGTTTCTCTGTGTGTGCAGTAGGGGAGGAACAGAGGAACCCTGCTAGCCCTACACCCTGAAGCAATCTATGTGAGATTGACAGGTTGTGAGGCTGCTGGGGTGAGGAGGGGCTCACCTTGATGCTGCAACCTCCTCGGCTACCGGGGGAGGCATGGCTGAAGCTGGTGACATGAGTGACACTGCCCAGCCGAGTCAGGGTCCCAGGACTGTTGACACGGGTGATGGTGCTCTTGCCCCCACTACTGGTGCTGAGGAGGGTCGGGGGCGCCCGCAGCCCCAGCGTCAGTTCTGAGTGGGGAGAAAGGTGGCTGTCAGGAGGATCAGGTGGAGTGAGGGTAGTGCCAGCCAAGGTTGATAGTGCCCTTGCTCCCAGCACACCCTTTGAAGACACCCTGAGCCCTGGCCGCAGCACCTGTCCTGTATGCAGAGGTGCGGTTGCAAGGCACTCATTCCCAGTGGGGAGGCAGTGGGGGCCTACCTGCCCTCTGGTTGCCTGTGGAGGCCTGGCCACGGCCGTCCTTGATCTCGATGGTGAATGTGGTCTTCATACTGCCCCCTGGCTCGGCAGTGCCGACAGCCACGGGCAGCGGGGCACCAGGCTCCTCTGAACGTGCCACAGGCCCCCCTGCTCCATTTTCAAGGGGCCTGGCAGCCAAGCCCCGCCCCCTGGGGCCCTCCTCCTGGGGGCAGCTTTGAAGCTGGGCCGGGGGCTGGGCTACTCCACGGTGCTCCTTACTGAACCGGGAGGAGGTGTCACTGGGGCCCCGAGAGGAGGAGCCACTGGAGGAGGAGGCAGGGGTGGTGCTGATGAGGGAGGGGCCCAGGAGCCTTTTGGGGGTCAGGGGACCTAGGGCAGCCCGGGGTGTGCCATCCTGGAGCCTAGCAGCCATAGGAGAATCAGATGTGAACTTGTGTACACGGTCCCGCACAGAGCCAGCCCGCTGGAACGAGGAAGGTCCGCTGGCAAGGGGGGTGGACTCTAGAAGGGACAGGAGGGCTGTCAGTGGCTGGGTGGGTTTGGGTCTGTCCAGAATCTAGTAGGGGGTGAGAATTGGCAGTACCTCGGTTCTGGGCTGGCTGGCGGGGGCTGAGCACCGACAGGGAGCGTTGGCAGGGTCGGGGTCTAGCCAGGTCTGGCAGGTTGGGGAAGGGGTGGTGGCCATGTGAGGAAAGAGAAAAGACAGGGGATAGTAGGGGTTCACCTCTCAATCCTCTCCTCTACACCTCCCTAGCCTCCCACCCTTTCCTATACCCAACCCCCATCCTGCCTCTCCATCCCCTCTTGGATCTCACACTCCGGCATCACTACTCGGCTTTGTCTCTCCTACAGGCACCTCCTTCCCCTCCCACACCGACCCTAGGATGATCTGGACGTTCCTGGGGGCCGGGCAAGACTTAGGCTGGAGGAAGGGTGCCAAGATCCTTCCTGCAGATGGGGAGGGGGGACAGCCCCCTGGCCAGTGCTGCCCACAGCTCTAGCTGGAAGATGGGCAGACTCCCTTATTGGGGAGAAGAATGTGCCTGAGGCTGGTTGCCTTTCAAGGCTGCGGGGGAGGCCTCTAGCCATGGGGGTGGAGGGGGAGGTGGGCCTAGCTGGGGGCGGGGATACTTCAGGGGTGGGGTGCAGTGTCAGGGACTGCCTAGACCTGAGGAAGCTGGAGCTGCCAGGCACAAGAGCCCATTCTCTAGGCAGGGAAAGGGAGGCTGGGAGAGGGGAAGCAGATGCCTGTGACTACCCCTGCTGGGACCCTCACCTGCTCTCTTGGTGTCAGAGGGGCCTCTGGGGGGACTCTGGGCAGCAGGGGTCTCTTTGTGGCCTGACAGGAGCTGCAAGGGAAAACACGGCATGAGCAAGGCCTGACTCCCAGACCCGCTCACCTGCCCGGCATCCCTGCCCCTTGTCCAGACTCACCTTGTTGGCCACCTGGCCCTCAGTGCTGGGGAGCGTTGGAGACTCCTGAGGCTCAGGGCTGGTGGTCTTGGGTGGGCTGGCGGGTGGCTCTGGGCTGCCTGGAACCTCGGCTGTAGGGCACTGGGCCTCAGCAGGCTCCAATGGAGGCTCGGGAGAGGCAGGGGTGGGTGAACTGTAGGGTGAGGCAGGTGAGCGGGAGGTGCTCCCAGGAGGGGCCCGCAGCAGGAGTGTCACTGTGGTCACATCCTGGCTGGTGCCTTCAGGGGTGGGGGTTGGCTTTGAGACCTCTGCCTGCTGCTCTTGTTCCACTTGCTCTGACACCTGCAAGGGACCCATAGGATACAACCAAGGCTCCCTAGGCCTCAAGCGCCACTCCCGCCACCGAGGGCCAGGCTGGCAGGTGCCGAGGGCAGGGCATGCAAAGCAGAGCAGTGGGGACATGGCTTCCTGTAGGCACACCTGTACAGGCACAGGCACTGGCCCTGGCACGCTAGGGCAATCTCTGATCCCCACTTCCCGATCTCTCGGCACTGCCTAGCCTAAGGTGTTCAGAGAGGACCAGGGTCTGATGTCAGTGGGTGGGGATGGCAGGAGACCTGTTGGGGACAGGAGCCTTAATAGATCCCTGGAGCCGAGGTTCCTGACCCCTGGCCTCAGCCTGGTTCATCTGGAGTGGGGATGGGGTCCTTCCAGGACCGTGGACCCAGCAGCCTCTGCTGGCCACTTAGGGAAACTGCATGGCCTGACCTCTCAACCACACTCTCTGGAGAATAAAGAGAACTGTGAACAGTGCCCCATGAGCCACCTGGGGTCTGATATACAGGCTCCATAACCCAAGGTAAGGGTGTGGGCTGTGTGGAGGGTGAAGGACAGCCCTGGGATGGGTTGAAGCAGGGGAGGTGCCAGGGCCAGATTTGCATTTCTGGGAGATCCCTCTGGCTGCTGAATATAGGCTGGGTGGCAGGGGTGGGCCCCTTACAGTCAAAGACCAGCCTAGCAAAGACACACAGGCGCTCTCTGCTACTGGCATCCATGGGCACAGGACGCTGGGCCACCCTCCCACCCACCTTACCTCACACTGTTCCAGCCTGTGTGCCACTTGCCCCTTGCTGTCCTCTCTGGAGCCACCGTTGGGACGCCCGCTGTACAACCTCCCAGCCAAGGTGGCCGCTGGAAGGGAAGGAGCAAGTGTCAGGTGAGTGTCGGGGAGGTGCTGTGGACAGCAGACAGCAGGACAGGGGTGGGGCCAGAACATGAACATACCCTCAATCTCCTGAGCCCGGACGCGGCGGATGGCAGCTCGGATCAGCTTGCGCTCCTCATACTCACCGGCGCTTCGCAACTGTGGGTGAGAGGCAGGCCGTGAGAGTTGGGCTGTGGAGCCCAGGTCTTCATCTGCCCTGCCCCCATTCCCTGCCCCAGCCTGGGCCTCACCAGCGCAGTCAACTCCTCCACATCGTTCATGGACTCCAGCTGCCCTGCCAGCTGTGCCAGGGCAGCCCGCTGCTCAGCTTCCCGCTGCTGAGAGCTGCAGAGACATCATGACTGTACCCACCACTGCCATGGCCAGGTCGTGGAGGATGTGGGCTAAGGGTAGGAGCCAGAACAGAGTACCCAGAACCTTGGCAGAAGGGCATGTGGCTGTGCACACCCTCTGACTGCACACTGACACACTTATGCCCATGGACGTGGGCACTAATACCACACACTCAGATGTGCTGACTACACCAGCACAGCCACAATGCCATGATCAGTACATGCTCCATGCCCACAAACATCCCTGTTTTTCCAGAAGCCTGTGTGCACATACTGCTGTTTGCACATGCAGTCCACAGATACACTTGTGCTCACGCCTGCCAGCACGCATGAGCTGAGCCCTGGCACGCACTCACCCTCTCGCCCGCATGTTCCATCCCCTGCTACTCACTGCAGCCAGTTCTCCTTGTTGTCCTGCCGCTCGGCACGGAAGCGCTTGGATGCCAGGGCCTCCTCCTCACGCTCCAGCTCCTGCCGCTGCAGTTCCCGGATGGCTGAGCGGATGCGCCGCCGCTCTGCCAGGTCCGCTGTGACCTCCAGCTGCAGCGGGGGCGAGGGGCTGGTCATTTTGGCTGCCAGGGGCAGAGGGCTGGCACCAGCTGCCCACAGCTCTGCCTGGGGCACAATGTATGGCCTGTGTCCACTCCCTCTGCCCCAAGCCCTTCACGTGGCTTCCTGCCCACGCAGGGTCTCAGGGGTAGACCCAGCCCCCTGTTTCAGCGCTCCTGGGGAGCCCACTGTGCATTGTGGTTCACAGAGCACATGACTGTGAGTGGAGAGCCAGAAACCACCCACCTGTGCCAGGTGCCAAGCCAGACACTCGTTCCTGCAATTCGATTTCTACCCGTCAAAGCCCAGACCCCCAAGAGCCAGGGAGCTTTTGCACGAGGAGGGAGACCACCCTGTGGGCCACTAACAAGGTCCCTAGAGGGAAAAGTGACTTGGGCTGCTGAAGTCCACCCTCTGAGCAAGGGAGGATTCCATGGTCTAGTCACCAAGCACCACAGCCCAGCTGGGGGTAGACTGCCTCATCCACAGATGGGGAAACTGAGGGCAGGTGCTCAGGGGTCCTGCCTGGCTGAGGGCTATGCTCCCCACTGCACTGGCCTGGCCCTAGCCACCATTGAAGGAGCCAGGGTGCAGAGTGGGAGGACCACTCCCCCAGACATATAAGGCAGCTGGCACTAGGGGCCACCTCAGGGCCTTAGAGAGGGCATCCCTGGGTGACAGGGGTTCCTTCCAAGTTCTCAGCCCCTCAGTTCCCAGGAAATTGAGGGTGAATGGTCTAACCAGGTTTAGGAAAGAACACCTTCTCTGGAGTGAGTCAGCCAATCCTGTTGCCTCCCCCACACCTCCACCAAGTAGAGCCACCCCCTACAGACCCCCCGTGGCTCAAGGGAGAGAGGACTGGCCCTGGATCCCCCAGGAAGATAGTGGCAGAGATAAGCCTCCAGTGTGGGTCTAATAACCAAATGGGAGCCAGTAAAGGCAGGTGATTTCCTCTGTTCCCACTCCCCAGATCATTTGGAGTAGGGCCAAAGAACCCTCTATCACCTTCCCTTCTGCTTAGTGGGAAGGCCAGGTGGCAAGGGTGGGAATGAGGTGGAGACCGTTTTCAGCAGGGAGTGTGGGCTGGCTCAGCTCAGCCATGAGCCAGCTTGTCGTAGTCTGAAGACAGCATGGAGAGTCTTGGAGGCAAAGCCCCCCAGGCTCCACATTCCTGAGGCAGCCCCCCAAAATTCAGGCCAGAGCCCCTAGTTGATTCCAGCCCCAGTACAGTCCTGGCTGGGTGATCAGGGGCACATCCCTGAAACTCTCTGTTTTGATTTTCTTATTTGCCAGTGGGTGGGGGTGGGAACAGTGACTTGGGCTCTCCTGTACATGGCTGCAGTTGCAATAAGCATCACCCCCATACTTGGTTCTAGCCAGTCAGGAGGAGGGAGAAAGATGGAGAGGGCAAATGGGAAGGGCAAGATACCCCAAGGCATCAGTAACATTTATGGAGAGCCTCTAGGTCGAACCCGGTACTGAGCCCCCTGCTTGTCCTAAACTCACAAAAACCCTAGATACTGTATTATTCCCATTTGACAGATGAGGAGATTGAGGTCCAGGGAGGAGATGCGATTTGTTTATGGTCAAATGACCTGAGCCAGGATTTGAACCCAGGTTTCTCTGATTCCAGGGCCTGCCCTACACTGAAGATAGCTCTGCTACTGGGGTCTGTTTGTCATGGTGGGGACCTCAGGGACCCTGGCACTGTGTTGGAGACCCCTCTAGCCTGGACTAGAGATGCTCTGAGGCCTAAGGGGACCTCATAACAGAGGCGAGGAGAAGGAGGGTCACTCCCCAGCCCCCCCATCCTGGCTATGTCTCAGGCTTAGAGCCTCCTGTCGTATATTTGGAGACTGGGGGCCGGAGGGGACAGTGGGCCCAGCCCCTCCTGTAAGAGAGTAAAGAGGCCCAGAGGTGCAAGTGCCAGCCTTTTGTCTCCTAGGTCCCCATTCCCAGTGCTCCAGGATCTGAGACTGGGTCCTTGCCCCTGGCAAAAGCCTAATGTAGGAACTTAACCACCTCTACGACACAACCCCGGGAGCTTCAGTGTTCCCATCTGGAAAATGGGAGCCTCCCTCGGATCCCCCAAAGTGGGTGGGCAAGGCTGGGGACTGACAACCTCATTCCATGGGTCACCCTATGGCACAACCCTTCCCTTTGGGCCTGGAGGCAAAGGTTGGACCACAGTGTCCCCTCTGTGTGTCCTGGGTTCCACCCTGCCAGGCCCCACCACCGTGTAAGGAGGGGACTGTGGGAGGGAGGGAAGGAAGTACAAAGCGCCATTGTCTACTGAGGGGGAAGGGGAAGGGGATGGGGCGGTTTCCGAAACTGCCCAGTCAAATTCTCCCGGGAGGAAAGAGGGTGCTTCCTCCCCCTGGAGGGCTGGCTCTCCGCGTACTCTCTGCCCTCACTGCTGGGGACTCTGGCAGGCCCTGAGGTCTCGCTGGGCCTGTCTCCCCAACAGCATAATGGAGGGGACTCTCCGGATGTTCTCTCAGTCCCAGCTCCCCCAGTAGCCCTTAGGGGACCCGCCGGCAATGGAGCGAGGCCTCGCCAGGGGGCGCTGAAGGTCAGCAGGCTATGCGACTGCCCTCCCTCGCGGGGCGCCACCCTCGCCTCGCCCACCCGGCCTCACGCTAGGCGCCGAAGGGGGAGCCAGATCGGAAGTCCCCGCTACCGCCTGCTTCAGTGTCCCGATCTACAGGGAAGAAACCGAGGTCCCCGGGACACCCAGCTAAGTGAGTGGTGGAGCCCGAACTCGAACCCGGGACCGACGCAGAGGGTGTCCCGGAGGGTGGTGGAAGGGCACGCGGCATGCCAGTCTCCAGGAGTCCCCATTCCGCGCAACCCCCAGTCCAGTCCTCAGGAATGTGCGGGAGCCGGGGCCGGAAGCTGCTGACCGCGTCCCCAGATCGGCCCGACGCTGGGGCACAGGGCAGGCGGAGCGGGCCCAGCTTTTCCTTATAAGGCCCGGCCCCGGAGGGAGGAGCCCGGCTCGGGACGCCCCCGTTCCTGCCACGAGGCCGGCGGGGGCCGGGCCGGCGCGTGGGGCGCAGTAATGGCGGGCGCTGGGGGCTGGAGGAGCCGCTCCAGGGGTGGGAAAGACTTCGAGCTGCACCGATCCCTAGACCGAGGCAGGTTCCCATATGTCCTTTCCCAGAGATGGGGGCGTGGGTGGGCTGACTTCGACCACTGCTCCAGCTTCTCCCAAACTCTTTTTCAGCGCCGCCCGAGCCTCGCATGAGAGAGGGAGGTGGCGGCGGAAGAGCCCTGAGCCTGACTGTGGACACCTTGTGATAAGGATGCTTGGGAACCTGGCCTGGAATTCTCTCTTTTTGAACTGCACTGCCTCTATGACCCCCACTGGGGCTCGGACGTCCTGAGGGGAGGTCGAGCTGACTGACTGGTGGGCATCTTTGGAAACCCAACCCCATCCCCTCCAGGCTGCACACATCTTACGATGGCAGTGGAGAGGCAGACACCCAGTCTAATGCACTGGTCCGAGAACATACAGGCACAGTGTTCTCGGGGGCAGGTCATGGCAGCAGCTGGGCACTGCGAGTGGCTGGGTTACACTGGCTGGTTCCAGTCTCTGCCTTCAGCGGAAGGCATGGGGATGGGGTGGGTCATTTGTTCTCTAGGTAAGGTAAATCTTTAATTTAACCCCCAGGACAAGGGTCAGGGACTGGGGAGATGGAGCTCATCTGCCCCTCCCCCAGGCCAGGCTGCCTGGTCTGGGAGGTGAGGGGGGGTTGGGGGGGTTGGGGGAGGAGCCCTACCCACTGTTGCTCTACAGCCTCTCTGTGCCTGGGGTAGACAGGACTCTCAGGAAGAGCAACAAGAAAGGGGATGGAATGCCCTCATCTTTCCTCCACCCAAGATCCGGGTCCATGCCTCATTCTGTCACCATGCCAACCCTAGGACCTAGAGTTTGTGTACACACCTCTCCCTCCCTCCCTCCATGTTACACCTAAAGGAACTGAGACCCACGGTGGAAAAATGAGATGAGAAGCCACAGAACCCGTAAGGGCCCAAAAAGCCTCTCTCACTCTTATGGCCTTGACTTTTCCAGGACTCTAGTCCCCCATGGCCCACTATGGGGTTGGGATTTTGGCACAGTTCCTTCTTAGATGGGTGTCCTTGAGCAGGTGATTTCAACTCTTGAGTCGCAGTGCCCAGGCTTTCAGAGCTGCTGTGATTATTCTGTGACATGGGATACCCAGTGCCCAGCCTGCCCCCTGCCAGGCCTTGGCATTATTAATCATTGCTGCTACTATTATCACTGGGCCAGTTTCCAGGGGTGGGCACTGCCCTGGCTATTGCTCTGGAGAGGCAGATCCAGCCTCCCCACACCTGTGGCTGCACATGGGCGAGTCCTCAGCAGTTACTGTTTAAACAGGTGATGGCCGTGGAGGGCTGGGAAGGACTAGGCTTCAGCACCTGGCATGGACAGGCACATGCCACAGGGGCCTCTGCATAAGCCACATGGAACTGGCCTACCCATGTTCCTGTGTCTTTCTCCTCCTGACCTTTCCCCCATCACTTCTTTCTGCCAGCTGAGAGGTACCTGGGATTGGCCCTGCCTCTCTGGCTTGGCTTTCCTGTCCCCACATTGGGTGATGGGGCCACTTACCAGCTTCCGAAGGGCTCCCTCATCCAGCCCAGCTAAGGTGTCGTCTGCCATCTCGCTGGCCCCTAGCTCCGTTGGTTCCTTTCTGGTGAGATCCCAAGTGCCTGTGGCACCTGTCACCAGCTCAGAGAATTCTGCAGGGGACAGACATGAATCAGGCCTGCTGGGGCTTCTAGAAACCACAGGCACTTAGGCTCTGTGCCTTAGTTTCCCTCTCTAACCTATAAGCATCCATTGCTGTCCCATCCTGTAATGTGGCTCATGGCTGGAAGCTGCCCTCTGCTTTAGGGTGGTTTGCTGGAAAACTCACCAGGGTAGCCCCAAGGTCTCTGGTTCCAGCCCTGCCAGCTTGGCCACCAGTCTGCTGTGTGGCCTGGGAGAGACTCTCATCCTGTCAAAACCTCAAACAGGGCGGGCAGGGACCTGGACTGAGAAGCCAGGCCTGGCAAGGCCCACCCAAGCTGTGCTCACCACCAGGGGGTGCACTCCAGTGTTCACAGTTTCCTGCCCCACCCACCCATGCCCACTCCCTACACAGCCCCCACCCATTCTACAAGCTCAGCCTCTGGCTGTGGGCTGAACCCATATCCAAGATTTTGCTGCCACCACCACTGTTATTCCCCCAGGTATAGGAAGGTATACTGTCTTCTAATTCTTGGAGCCAGCTCTGCTGTCCCAACCTCCTGAAGTCAGGTGTCCAGGTACCCAGCACCTCCTGCCAATTCACAAATAATTCAGTTCCCCACCTGGAAGGGCCTTCAGAAGCTGACCTGCCCAACCTCCGGGTTTCAGGCAAACTGAGAGGATTGGAGAGGGCCAAGGATTTGCCACCAAGCAAGGAGGAACCCAAAGACTTAGAGGGCAGAGAAGGATGTAATCAAAATCTTGGTCATCTCCAACTTCTGAAGCTCCATTCCAAAGTGCCCTCAAGGGCCTAGGACACGCTCAGTGACAGGGGCAAGAGCCCCATCTTGCCCCAATGACGGGGCAAAAACCCTAATGCTGCTCTTCAAAATGGACCCCTAACTTCTGGCCCAGCCTCCCAGCGCAGATCTCTCCTTCCTCCTGTAGCCCTAAGTAATGTTTGTCTGGAATTTGAGGGCCCCTGGTCTGGCACACTGTGGATGCTTACTAATGTATGGTGACTGAGATGGCCCCAGGACTACCCCCCACCTCCTGTTGATTCATCTTTCAATCATCCCTTCCCTCTCTTCAGACAGTCACTTGGGAAGTCGCCCTCTCGCATGCATGGGTCGGGGATAGGGGTTACCCCTCCACACAGTTGGGGTGTGTGGGACCCTGCCTGTTCAAGTCACTGCTTGCTCTTCCTCCCATCCGGGTAGGCTCAGAGGTGTCAGCCTCCCAATCTCGGCCTGTTAGGGTCCTTGCCTCTTACCTACTTATTCTGTCTGGGTTAAACCTCTTCAAGACTGTCCAGTGGTCACCAGCCTTAAGTTCTGCGTACATTCTGGTTCCCCCCACGTATTTTCTTCTAAGGGGCAGGTGTCCCTAATGGCTAATAAAATCCCTGCCGCTGCCCTTCTGCAATGGGGTAGCCGGATATTGTGAGGGGCCTCAGGGTTCTGTGGCAGCTTCCCCAGGGTTGCTGCCACCAAAGACAAGCGCCCCAGTGGGGCGTGGAGCCTCTCAGGAATCCGCGGGCGTCTTCCCCCCACAGTCTCAGAACTTTATCCCATGGCTTAGAGCTCTCGTGGACGAGTGAGGGCTCCTAGGTCTGGACGTTCCAGAACTCCTGTCCAGACATCCGGGTTCCACCCCCGGACACGTTGGGGCAGCACCAGGATACCCCCCGAAGTCCGCACACCCACCTCTCAGTCCAGCCCACCCGTCTGGCGCAGGCTCGGCTTAGCTTGTTCGGGACCCGGCAGATGGATTAGATACGCGCAGGCGGAAGGCGCCGCGACCGGGTGTTCCAGGCCCGCTCAGCAACCGTCCCCTGGATTCTGTGGAGAGCTGCCCGTCCAGCCGCGCCAGAGACCTGTGGCCCCGCCCCGTCCCGAAGCACCAGCCAATCCTCTGTTGGGTACCTCCCACTCTCGTGCCCCATTGGGAAAATTCAATTTGACGGTCACGCCCCGGAGGAAGACCCCGCCCCTTGCGGGCCAGGGAGATCGGAGATCATAGTCTTGGGGTAGTTTGCTGCGGTGGGTTTAGCGATTCGGGTGGGCATTGACCGGAGCCCATAGGCTCTGCGCCAAGTTGGGGAGGGCGCCCGTGCCGAAGTAAGTTTCCTGGGGTCGTAGGAATCTCAGAGCCTTCTGGACAGCCCGTCTCCGCCCTCCTCTTTGTTCCTGAGACCACGTCCCTTCCCTCGACTCCACCCTTTTCTCGCGTCTGTTTAAGCTCTGCCGCCGTCCCCAGGCTGCTTTCGGGACACCTGGTCTGGGCCACCTCCGAGCAGGGCCTGAGTGATTGGCAGCACAGAGTGATGGCCCTGTGTTGGAGCGCCGGGACCATCTCAGGTGGAGCAGGATCAATCACACAGCAAGCCTTCCCAGCCCACACACCTTTGCAAAGACATTGTCTTCATGTAGCGTGCAGCCTTCATGTAGCATTCTTCTACCTTCCAAGCCCTGAGAGTCTGCCTTTAGGAGCGCTGGAGTCCTAAAAAAGGAATATGGAGTCCAGGCTCTCATTCAGAAATTAGCCAGGTGACCCAGGAGGTCAGACCCACTAGGGAAGCTATTTAATCTTCAGTGCCAGAGGCCCTAAAGCCGCCCACGGGTCTCTGTGGAGACCAAAGTGGGTAGAGTTGGGAAGATGAGGTCTGGAGTCCTGTCAAATAAAAAAAATAGCCGGGTGTGGTGGCTCACGCCTGTAATCTCAGCACTTTCGGAGGCTGAGGCGGGTGGATCACCTGAGGTAAGGAGTTCAAGACCAGCCTGGCCAACATGGTGAAACCCTGTCTTAAAAAAGAAAAAGGAAAAACGAAAGAAAAATAAAGAAATAATCACTTATTTTGTAGGGCATATTATGCCCTTAATAACCATATGAGACCATGACTACTGTCCCATTTTACAGATGAGGACAACAGCTGATAAGTAGTAAGGCTGTGATTGATACCCAGCACCTTCTGAGTCCAGATTCTGTGCTTTTAACCACTCTAATGTGGGATTCTGGGGAAGTAGTTTCAACCTTTTGCCCCAGAAGAGCCCCGGTTCAGGTCTGTGACATCCCCCTGGGCTCTGCATCTAAGGAAAGGCCCAGTCTCCACTCTGAGAGTCTTTTCCATGTGTCATTTTATTTTATCCCCACACCCCTGAGAAGTGGTCCCATTTTGCACATCAGAAAACCAAGGCACAGTCTGGGTGCAGTGGTTCATACCTGTAATCCCAGTACTTTGGGATGCCGAGCTGGGTGGATCACCTGAGGTCAGGAGTTCGAGACCAGCCCTGGTCAAGATAACAAAACCCCATCTCTACTAAAAATACAAAAATTAGCCGGGTGGGTGGCATGTACCTGTAATTCCAGCTACTTAGGAGGCTGAGGCAGTAAAATCGCTTGAACCGGGGAAGCTGAGGGTGCAGTGAGCCGATATTGTGCCACTGGACTCCAGCCTGGGCGACAGAGAGAGATCCCAGCTAAAAAAAAGAAAAAAAGAAAAAGGCACAGAGGAAAGCAACTTGTCAAGGTTACACAGCAGGAGAGGCAAGCAGAACTCACTTTGGAGGACATAGTTCAAGGTCCTAGGCCCTCTCTACCTGGGCAAGATGCCATCTTATTATCCAGAAAGAGGGTCAAGCACCCTTTAAGGCCAATTCTGACAACTTCAACATTCATGCTTCTCTTGGGACCTCCCCTTCATGCAGAGCATACCTAGGCCACCTCTGATTTTCAGGGCCTACCTGAATGGCAGTCACCAGCTCCAACGAATGGCCTGCTATGTGCTAGTGCCCTCCTTTCTCCCTGCCCTCCTGTAGGCTACAAGGAATGGTAAAGGTGAGTTCCTCCAGGCTTAGATTTACTGTCTGGCACATGTGCTCACGAGCCCCTGGCCCTGGGGAAGGGATGTGTGGGCTCTGCCCCTTCAAATCCTTAGGACCTGGGTCCACATCCAGACATAGCTGCCAGCCTCTGTCTTCCTTTCTGCAAGGGAGCTGGGGGGTGATCTAGAGTTCAAAGGGCAGTCCGGTACAGTGCTGGGGAAGTTTACAGCTACAGTCAAGGAAAGAGTAAACATCCTGTGAAGAGGGCCCCAGCATTTGCTGAGCACCTGTTTCATGTCAGACGTGGGGTTCCCACTACTGCCAGGTGACCACTGTGCAGATAGGTACACTCTGATTCGACAGAGGAAGTGGAAACTCAGAGGTGAAGTCACCCTGGGCTGGTGATGGCATTCAGACTAAAGTGGAATTCTGCCTGATGCTGAAGCTCCTTCCCTCCACTTTGCTGCCACTAGGATGGGGAAGCTCTGTTCTTAGGGAAGTGGCATATAAACTGTCAGGCTTTTTTTTTTTTTTTTTTTTTTTTTAAGAGAAAGGGTCTTGCTCTGTCCCACAGGCTGGAGTGCAGCATCACGATCACAGCTCACTGTGGCCTCAAACTCCTGGCTCAAACAATCCTTCCATTTCAGCTTCCCAAGAGGTTAGGACTACAGGTATACACCACCACACCTGGCTAACTTTAAAAATTCACCCCACATAGAAGAGGGGGAAAGGTATGGAAGCACATTTGTGACAGAGGAACAGTGTGAGCAGACTAGTAGTCTTGTGAGTGGGAAAAGGAGGAGGATAGGCTGTGGGTGGAGCAGGAAATGTGGTGGTTCTCTTTACAAAGGATTCTGAATGCCAGGTGAGCAGGGTGAATGTATCTTGTGGGCACCAGGGAGGCCTGGGCTTCAGCCTTCCCCCTATAAAATGCGGTGGTTGGACTGGACTTCTTCAGGCCTTCCTAGGGCAAGGGACAGTTATAGAAAGGGTCTACTCTAGGTTCTTCCAGATTCAACCCTGGTAACAGAGTGGGACGTGACTGGAGCAGCTCAGAGGCTAGGGGTCATATTTTGCTCCAGAGCCCAAGTCCAAGAATTATTATTTTACCAAACTGTCTGCATTGCATCCCTAAGTCACCCTGGCTAACCCTCCACCCAGTCAGGGTCCTGCAGAGAAGGCCCAGGCCTGGGGTCAGGAGGCAACAAGAGTGATGGGTCCTACCCCTGGCTCCGCCCTATTTAGGCTTGGCCTCTTGGAGCCTCAGCTTCCACATATGCACAATGGAGGAGCTGTGCCTTGGGGTCTCTAAATCTCCTCTCTCTGGACAACACTGCCATTCTAGAGACATGAACAGCATGAGCGAGGGAATGGACGTAGGATTGTGAGGATCTTGTTGGGCAACAGACAGGCAGGTGAAGCTGGAGCATGGAGCTCCTAGAGATGAATGGTTTCTTGCTGGAGTTGGCTGGATCCAAGGGCTATGACCTTCCTTCTTATGTGTAGAACTGGAGGTGCCCTAGGTCATGGCCGGCAGCCCTAGGAGTGGGACTGAGGAGCTGTAGGCAAACTAGTTAGGCAAGGCCATCATCTCCATG